AGGGGGGCCGGGGCGGGCGGCCCCGGGAGGGTTAGCCCCGGGAGGGCTGGCCCCAGCCACGGGAGAGAGGCGGCTGAGAAAGGAGAAACCGGGAATCTGAGACTGACTGTGACTTAATGGTTCGCGTGAGGTGTCGCCACGATCCTCCTCCAGTGCTTATTTTGAGCCACCTTCTCGCTCTGAGAAGACTTCCCCGTGATAAAATGAGGTGTCCCGTTTGTAGCAGGAGAAAAAGTTTATTGTGTTTTCTGCAAGACCTCCAGCATCTGCGGTGGATCTTTGGCTTTGCACATCTTGCCCGTCCTGAGTTTCTGTGGTAATGTTTTAGGGTATTATAATGCACAAGTCAACTAAGATACACACCAGCTTCAAAGATCTTGTTTTGTCCTTTATGAAATTATTTTAGTGCTGTAATAGGTCCATCCATTACAAGTCTCTCAGGAAATTCTTCCTGCAGTCACATTATAAAAAATTGGCATATGGCCAAGGGGAAGTCTATAAAGTGTTTTATATTCACAGTTAGTTTAGGCATCTGTTACCTGGCTGTTGTTGAATTAGTGCAATAGGAACGTAACAGTGTATCACATTACAGCTCAAGGAATAAGGAGATGAGAAGAACTAGTCTGTTCATCCAATACAGTAAGTTTAATACATTAAATCAATTTCTTATCTGGGCTCAAAAAAAGAAAAGAGAGATGAAGGATTTGGCCTATAGAGTTCAAGTTCATCAGAGCCTTCATATCACCTTCAAAATCATTGATAGCCTTTCAGCATAAAGATGGTTGCTCCTTCTGTTTCTGAAGCAAATATAATTAGCTGACAGAGGTTTCCCATGGCTTGTAGAGGCAGTTAGCATTGCCCAGCACTGTATGAACTGCCCATGCCTGCAATTCTCTTTCCTCCCCATCAGTGCCACAATAACACACAGCCCTGAATACATAATGCAATTTCCAAAATGTCCAAGTTAAGAGTCAAAACCTTATTCCTAAAAAAAGTTAATACCCCCAAATCCTAAAACTGAAGGATTAAATACACATTTAATCAGAATTTCCCTACTGCAAGATAGAGGCTACAGCACGCCAACAAAGCAAGAAAATAAAAAATACATTTCTCAAAAAAAAAAAAAAAAGTTCTAAATTTAATCATTTTATCATCATTTTAGGATTGCATTTGAGAACATTGCTTTCTCACACACTTTCACCACTGTGACAGGACAATTGTTGTCAATGGACTCCAGTAGCCAAAATTTTAAAAATAAATAAAAATAGGAGCTTGTATGGACTGCAAGCACTGTGACACCACAACAGCCCAGAGCTCAGGTGCCTGGTAGTGCTGCATGCATTGTACAAATGTGCCTGAAGAACAAAACTTCCCAGTCGTGTCACACATAGTTGATCTTATCATTTTAAAAATATTCCCAGAATTCCATCTTTTATTTCCTACCTTTATGATGGCTAGGCTAATTTTGACTTTAAAGAACCATTCTGACTGGAAACTGTTATGGAAACATGACTAATTTTTTTGTTGCCTGCTCAGAAATCAGCACACACACCCTTAGGCTCAAGGGTGTTCACAGTACCACTATGTGTCTGACTCCAGTGGATTTGTGGCTGTGGACCTGAGGCGTGCAACTGGTGGACTTAACGAGAGGTATCAATTGTCTCAGACCAATCTGTAGAGTCCACTTCCCCAAATCAAACTGTTAGAGGTACATTATATCCACTCCCAAGGAGTAAGCCTACATATTATTTGCTTTACAAGCTACCTTCTTCGGATCACCAACACTTTGATGCCCATCTAAGTTAGGAAGGGACCTATAGCAATTGGATGCAGCCAGTCTCTGGGCGGAGATAGAAATCTGTTTCTGAGCTGCAACATCTCCCAGGTGTCCTGGTCTGAGGTAAAATAGAACCAACTTTCTGTTAAGTAATTTTACTTCTTAGCTAGGCCTCTTCTAAGTCTCTGAAATTAACAGCATATTGTGCAGAAAACTTCTGCTTTTAGAGTGGTAAAACCAGTGTTTGTACATCATGCCAAGGAACAGTATGCAGCAGAGAGGCTCTTGCTTATACTTATTGCTATAACCACCAAGGTTATTTTGTTATTTGCACCGTTGGAGGGTTGGAAATGAAAAAGCACAGAGGGGTCCCACCTGCAGGAAGGAGCAGACAGGACAGATGACCCAAAACTGACCAACAGGGGTATTCCATTCCATCTGCCCCATGCTCAGTGTAAAAGCTGAGGGATCAAAGGGTCACCTCTCTCTTTCTTTAATGACCGACGTCCAAAGAGGACCCTGCCTTTGATCCCAATCTGTGCTTCCTGAATCCAGTTCCCATCCATCACTGAGTCCAGTTTGGGACTTTCCAAGTGCCTGCCAGTGACGTCATCCTGGGAGCTTGATACGGTTTTGTACATATTGTATCTATTTCATTATTTCCTTTTAATTTTATTATTAATATTTCATTAAATCAGTTTAGTTCCCTCTAAACTCTTAAGTCTCTTTACCTCTCCTTCTCCTCTTCTGCGAGCGGGAGGTGTGGGGAGAGCATCTGTCACTGTTACAGGCCAATTCAGCCTAAACCATGACAACAGGATAGCTAAAATATTTAAGTATGCATATCCTGTAACATGTTAGTTTTGGGCACAAACACTGAAAGAAGTTTCCTGAGATTTAAACACCTAATGGGTTGTGTCTGGTGATGCTGAGTATTTCTTGTGGTGTTGAAGAGCAATGCTAAGCATGTTTCCACTCTGTCCATAGTTTGTGTTTAATGTGAGGCATTTGGCAAAGGAATTGTCATTGCAACAGTAAACACTCCGGTATCCTTTTGAATACACGCCCTATGAGAAATGATACACCAGGGGTGGAGGGGATACAGATGAACTTAATCAGAACATGAAGTGCATTAAATTCCTATTTTAGCTAACATCCTAATATCTGTTTCCTGGAGGAATGTTTCTAATGAGTATCTGTGGAACACACTTCATTAATTAAACTCATCACAGCCCATACTGATATCTAAAAGGGTAAAGAAGGGATTACTAGTTCTCCCAATGGCATGTTAGTAATTTAAGGTTCACTTGCAAATGCTGTTATAGCAGATTTCTGAATTGATGAATTTTCCCTCTAAGGATTTTTTTCTTTTTTGCAAAACTTTATGCTCCTGAAATTTACACTCAGCAAAGAATTTTGAAGTAATGTCAAGTGATTACCCTTGTGGCTGTAGACTTCATTGAAAAAAGTGTGTTTCTGGGCATATATCTAGCAAAGAGCAAACTGTGAATCATGTCCTGGATACTTCTGCAATTGCAAAATAATTTATCTGAAGCCTTTATTTTGTTTAAAAAAGCATTTTTTTCACAACTGTATCCTTTAGCATAAGGCATGCATGTTTGAAGATATATGTATGTTGAAAAAAGATTTGCAGAAAAGTATTATAAACATAATCTCCTGTACACAAAATGCTCTCACTGTCCTAGCATACAAGATTTCCAAACTTTCATCATTCAAATTTCAGTTAAAGTCCTTTTATAAGCACAAAGTAAAACTGTAGTTAAAGAATTAGTACATATTTTAAATCCCTTTGCTATGGTTTTGTACCACCTTTTGTCTAACTCTTATACTGTATCTATCCCAAAGAACTACCAGTCTTGCACAAATAAGTTTCACCCTCCTGTATACCACTGACGTCTGAGACATAGAAGCAGTCACGGTTTCCTGCAATATGCAGTAGTGTGCAGAGTTAAGTTCAAGTCAATATAAATGTTTCCATCTTCCTGAAAGGTGATGGAAGTAGTAGTAGTAACTGGCACCTTCCAAGGTACATAAATAGATATAATTATTCTTCCAGTTTAGTAACTAGTCTTAAATATATCCCAGTTTTTCTTCAAATCCACTAAAAATCTTGTATAGATTTCAAAATAATTAAATTATTACTTAAAAAAATACATATTTTAATACAACTTTTCAAGTTGATATTTTGACTGTTTTTAGTGAATATGAAAGATGGCATAGTTTGTCCTGCAATAGTAAGATCTGGTCATAGGGAAAAGCAAACCGAAACAAAGCAAGTAAACAAAACAAAAAAACCTACAGAAATACCTGTATTCACCACTATTCTTTGTTTGACTGTTGCCTTCCAGCCTAAAGATGCCTTCATGTCAGACGTCTTCCGTACAGCACTCAGAATAGTGATGCAGTGCTGAAATCAGTGTGTCCGTGGTGGATCATCCGCCTGCCTGCTGAAGTGCTGGGAATTCATGACCTTCTGTTTGTTTCTGTCTCCTGGAAATGAGTGTGTAGTGTGTTGCGAGACAAATGATGAGAACTCATAAAAATGCTAAAATATCTGTCTCTGCAGACAGAAGCCACTTTTCACAGACTTCTGGAAAGTGCTGAAATGAAAACCTGACTCAGTGCAGGTGAGAATGAGTTAGACATCCACTGGCATGAACATGTGATTTTAGTATCAACTATTACTGATGTTATCATTTGATTCCTTCCTGAGGAGGTCTTACAGTTCAGGACAACCTATATTTCATCCATATTTTTCCAGATCTAAATTCTGTTTCAGAAGGCTTCTCAGGCATATCACAGAATCACAGAATTGTTGGAGTTGGAAGGGACCTCTAGAGATCATCTAGTCCAACTCCCCTGCTGAAGCAGGATTGCCCAGAGCACATTACTCAGGACTGCATCCAGGCAGGTTCGAAAATCTCCAGAGAAGGGGACTCCACAACCTCCCTGGGCAGCCTGTTCCAGGGCTCTGTCACCCTCACCATAAAGAAGTTCTTCCTCATATTTGAATGGAACTTCCTATGTTCCAGCTTGTGCCCATTGCCCCTCG